ATATATATATATATATATATATATATATATCACGTATTAGAATTGTTGGTGAACAAATGTGCTGTGGCCGGTGAGTCAGCACGGCTTGGTCCACGGGTCAATATCGGGAGTCTTCTGTCGGCTGAGCTGGATGCCGGGGTCGATCGAGCCCTCGCGACAGGGTGTTGATTAGCGTTCCTTGGTGTGTCGATCTGTGCACCGTTTATGCCGAGTCGCATCTCTCTGTTTCTGAGGTGGTTGGTAGCATGTCTTCGTACACTAGATGGTGATTCCCGGGTTGAGACGCTAGCGGGTCGTGGGCTACCGCTTTCCTGCAAAAATGGCCTTCGTCGGGTGATTCCCGACTTTGGCCCCTCCAACGAGCAAGTTAGTGGAGTATTCAATTGATTTTTACCTCTCCTCCCTTTGGCCAGATACTAGCCATAGGTCTTTATATTACTGTACGTGATTCGGTCGTACGCAAGTTGGCGTGGTGGACGTGCCAAACAGCGCCTTGGTACATATTCTGACTTGGCGTGTCTTGGGGGCGGCGTCGTCTTGGGATTCCTGAGACGTGACGTGTCGAGCAGCGCCTTAGTATGGATTCTGACCTGACGTATGGTGTCGAACAGTGCCTTGTTACGGATTCTGACTTGGCGTGTCTTAGGGGCGATGTTGTCTCGGGATTCTCGAGACGTGGCGTGCCAAGCAATGCCTTAGTACAGATTTTGACTTGGCGTATGGCGTCGACTGTTACGTGTCTTAGACCCAAAATATGCCGAACAAATATCGTTTTTGCAATGACAACTTAACCATGTTATATCCTCGTCAGAAGGCTCAAAATCATATTTGACCTCTATAATATATATCTTTTTGTGTCGGAGTTCAGAAGAAACTAATATATCAAACTTTTGATTGGATTTTTATAAAATATTTTACCGAAACATATAGCATTTTTAGAACTAATTTTGCAAAAGAATTTTATAATATTTTAAACCATAAAATATTTTGTGGGCCAATACTTATTTCAAATAATAGTTATAAAACAAACATATACATTTTCAATGGTTGCAAAGATACGTAATATATATTTTCAAAACTTTTAAATAATAAAACATTTCACAGATCATTAGTAATATATATTAAAATTTTTTTCTAAATCTTGAAATCACGACAAGAATTCTTAATCTTTTTCTAAATCACATGAGAAATACAAATTAAAATCACATAAAAAATCTTAAAATCTAATGCGTAATTTAATTCATTTTTTCCCCTTACATTTCTTCTCTTGTCTTTCTCTCTTGATTTATTTATTTATTTTTAATCTCTGTATCTTGTTCTTCTTCCTTCCTCACTTTTCATCTTTTGCTTTGACTTCCTTTCTCCTTCCCTTCGTCGCCCACAATCTGTGGTTGAGTGACAGCAACCAAAATTTCTTCTGTTCTTTCCCAATCTGCTGATCCCATCTTCCTCATAACATGGTTGGCGACATCATAATCTCCTCTCCTCTTGCTTGGTATTGCCAGCTTGGCTTGCCAAGGTGATCAATCTTTTTATGTATAACTATGTTCTTTCTCTTCTCTTTCTCCTTACTGTTCGCCTGTGTTCTTCTTCCTCTTCTTCTTCTTCTTCTTCTTCTTCTTCTTCTTCTTCTTCTTCTTCTTCTTCTTCCCGTCGTCCTTCTCTCTTCCTCTTTCTCTACCCGTTCCTATTAATTACATCTCTTGTGTCTTTTCCTTCGGCAAGGTTGCTTGACCGCGACCTTTCCTTCATGACACCACCACCGCACACCGCAGTCCAAATCGGTGCACGGATACAATCATGCGCTGGCAGTAAGCCATGGCTCTGCTTGTTGCAAGAATCCGATCATCATCATCCTATCAAGATATATATCCTTACAACAACATTCAAATTCTAATCGATACAAATTTCTCGTACTACTTTAAATTATGACTTATGAAAATAAATAGATCCAGATATCCACTAAATTATTCATACATCAACTCTATGACATGATTACTAAAAACCTTAAAAAGTCAAGAACATATCTAAGATTAATAGAATAAGATCTTGATCCTTCCATGATCCATGATCATTCTTGGTTCCCCATCGATAAGCCTTCTAAGTAGTTATAAATTATAAATTTAAAAAATCTTAAAAATTTCTCTTTTATTATGGTTTTAACTTTTTACAAATGGGTCCTTCATAAAACTTATAATTATGTTATGATACGGTAATATGTGATGAATTATTATTTTTAACATATTTAAGTATTATTCATCTATTTTCTTCTCTCTTTTTTTGTATGGATGATTTAGTGGGAAGAAGAACCTTAAGACTGCATTTTCAAATTGTTAGTGAACCTTTACATCGTGGCTGTCGAGTCGGGAGGAGGATTTTTCAATTCAACCCCTCTGAAGATTTTATTAGAACTCAGTGGAAAACGAGCCCAAAAGAAAAACGCCCTTGGCCCGACAATGGATTTTTATACTCTACTCATGGGGACTAGCCGTACCTGACATATTTATGGTTGTCGACCCATCAAGCAACGAGCTTACTTCTCATGCAGATATCAGGCGTCCTTCGTGCCACAGTGCCGTCCCGATTTTGTGGAGGCCGCATCATACTTGGTCGATGTTGTCACGATCTTTATGGGGCGACACTGTACCCGGTCGATGTCGTCCCAATCTTTACAGGGCGGCGCGGTACTCTAACGGTGTTGTCCCAATCTTTATGGAGCGGCGTTGTACTCGGTTGGTGCCGTCTCGATCTTTACGGGGTAGCGTTGTATCCGGTCGGCACCGTCCTGATCTTTGCAGGATGATGTCGTACTCAAGGGGCGTGGTGTCGATGTAGTCCGTTATATTCATCTTGATGCTGATGTGTTTGTGAGCAGTTGTTAGAAGAAAGGTTAACAAACTGTGCCCTATCACACATATTACCGCATAGCATTAAGTTCCTGTAGACCAAATTACTATTTTATTTTTTTTCTAGTTTATGTGATATTAATTAACACTCAGTTGTCACAGATATATGTTATAATAGTGACCGTAAAATGTATGAGCGCAATCGGCAATCAAATAGTTACGGGTTCGGATCCGTAAAGTCGACCCGCATCCGCGCCCCCTTATAGGCTAAGCGCCCCCCTCCTTACCCCAACTCTCTCGCCACGGTTGTATTGGCCGCTTTGCCTCCTCCAGGATGGCACTCCTCTGGTGCCGCCCTCCCGTCCCGCCCGCAGGAGCATCCCGCCGTCTGTCCTTGCCCTCCATCTCCGTAGCGCGGTCACCTTCGATCTTCCGCCTCTCTTGCTTCTCCACTTCGTCTTATCCCAAAGTATCTCTCTGTGTACCCATATATGCTTTTTTTGCCCCCCCTCTTTTCTCTGTTGTTTTTGGGCTCAAAAGGACTAACAGCGGTTGCCGGTTTCGGGGGCCTCTAAATTTTCTTGCCCGCCCACAGTTTCGGAGAGCTTACACGACGGTTCTGATCGTCCCGACCGGCGTGGGGGCTTCCATCGGAGGGTTCGCCGGCGACGCCTTGCCCGTGGCCCGAACCCTCGCCTCCGTTGCTGATTGCGTCATCTCTCATCCCAATGTAATAACAACTGATCTTTCTACTCCCCCCTTTCCGATACTTCCCACTGTCACAACCACTTATCTTCCTTTCTTACAAGAACAGTGACGTTTCGTGTTTGTTCCTTTATCCATGTCGTGAATGAGCATGCCATGTTAATCTTGCATTGGTTCTGTGAATTCTTATTATTCACCTTTGTTTAAAAGAGGAATGTATGACATGCTGACACGTTAATCACGTACAATTTTCGTAAGATCAAACATGTCGTGTGACATTAATTGATATTATTTATGTATAGATAGTATTATCATTAGCGTTCGTCACACATTTGAAGCTGGATACGATAGGTGTTGAACGCAGCTATGCTGTACTGGCCGATGCCAAATGTGCTTTACGTGGAGGGGTATGCGCTCGATAGGTTTGCTGAAGGATTGTGGGCTCTCCAACCTGTCCACCAAAATAAGGTATGTTTCAGCTGCATCGTCGATCACTCAACTGTGATCATATTATTACAAAGCCACAGTACCAAGCAGTCAACCGTGATCACAGTATTACAGAGTATGATGGATGAAATCAGCAAATTTTTTACTGATTGCACACAAGTTATGTCTTGGCACATGAAGATAAACCACAAAAAGCTTTCCAGATATATACTAGATTTAATATGAGCAAGTATTTCTTTTGCATGTTCCTAGATGAGAATCAGTAGCAAACTGTAAAGAAGCAGATATTGTTGTACCCGACAACATGAACATGTCGTAAAAATAATAAATAGAAGTTCAGAGAGATGAGAATGGATATTCAGTTGTACAGAATGAAGGTCCCTTTGAAACTTTAAACAAAATTGGGCACTGTTAGACAAGCCAAGCATATGTTTTATAGTCAGAATTAATTTGGATGCTGCAAATTCTAGAGATAGATTCAGAATCTATTATTTTTAAAATTTCTTTTATCTCCTTATACTCAGCAAACTGAGATGGATCTCTGTTTGATACATAGATAGGTTTGGTATTTGATGCTGGGATGGAGGAGGAACTCCGAATTTGCCATTTACAAGTTGCGGATGCTGCAAGAGCTTCACTAGGCTTGCCTCTCATGGAATACATTGTCACAGATTCTCCTTTGAAGGTATTCCCAATAGGAAGAATCAATTATCAGGTTGATTAGGTCTTCAATTATGGTTCATGTCTTTTCTTGTGGTCTCCACTGATCAGATTAGAATATGTTAATTAAAATTAGATGTCTGGTTTCCCTTGTACACTATTTGATGTTGACAGTGTTTTTTCTGCTTTTCTACATTTCACGATCTAATCCGTACTATGTTTCATAGAAGTTAAAATGGTGAATCTTTTGACCAAATGTGGTATAAGTGGTAACAAAACGCAGTTCCTGCAATATGGTAGACAAGAAAATACCATATCTGCATATTCTGTTCCTAATCGATGATTATTCTTGGAAACTTTTTCTCCTTGGAGAAGACATAGGATAACATGATCACTCCTTTTGGTGTTTTATGATGCATCTGATTTGGTTTGATCTTATGATACTACAGTTTTTAAGAACAATAACTGATTCAGTTTGATCTTATGACTACTGATGCAACCTAACTAAATATTTAAGAACATTAACTGAGACTGTATTCTTACTCACTGATCACTGATGAAACCTGACAAGAAGCTGTGCGGATGAATAACAAGTATTAGCTACAGTAATCCATACCATCAAGGCAAACAATATGAAGGATGTTTGATTTAACAAATATATTTGGAAATATTCTTAGGAAAATTTTCTCGGTTGTTATGTGCTTTTGGTGGTAAATAAAGAGTTAGGTGGAACGGATGCACCATAGGCATACGGTATTTTTGTTTGTTTGTAATGGAAAATATACTTGGTAATTTGTTGGGTTTTTCAAGAAGCATCATGCGAAATAGATGTTGCTGAGTGCAAAAATATGTTTGGCTAAGTAATTTCTTATTCAGTACATGGAACTATGTCAGAAAAACCAGTTAATGCTTATGCTACAGGCATATATTGACATATTCTGTTTCCAAAGCAATTGCAGCCAATATAAAAGCAAGTTAATGGCTGCTTTTGTCGAGATCTTAACTTCTTACTCTTGGAGTTATTTAATATTCAAAAGAATTAACCATTGAGCTATTTTCTGAAGACAGCTGAATATGGTTAAAGGTTAATACCTTAGGAAAGTTCTCATATCTAGGCTGCAGTTAGTCATGGAAATAGAGTAGATGTCTAATGAAAAGAGCAACCCTCCTATTTGGGAATCCACTTTTCCTACTGAAAATATATTCATTTTTATGAGACAAGAAGAATTAAAAAGCAGATAAACTGTATTTTATTATTTATACCTGCAAAGAATGAAGAAACAAGAGATCAATGTGTTTGGTCTCTACTCACTTAACTACTATGTGCTTTTGCATGGTATTCCTGGAAGAGGCTGCCATCACCTCTAATAATATTATAGAATATTAAATTTTTAGTAACTTTCCAAGTACAGATGTTACGGCTTTTGGAAGTGAAACATTATAGATTATTCATTCTGGATTAAATGCTTGGTAAACTTTAATTTCTAATGGAATTCCTTCCTCTAAAGTTAATCCATTGTGTTGATACTTAAAAAACAATCAGAAACATGCAACATAACATGTTAGATAACTACAAATGATGCATGCTTCTTTCCAAATGAAGCTAAAGCAAAGAGGCAAGTTTTTAAACAGCTGAATGTCCATCCTGTAGGTTGAAAAATGGATTGATCCCAACTGTGGGAAGTCAACAGGAAGGATTCAGCACCCTGATTCATTGTTAAGAGCTGTGCACACTCTAGTTAGCCAGTCACAAGTAAATGCAGTGGCAGTGGTGGGGCGTTTCCCAGATGATGACGAAGGAACAGAAGATTACCGGCAAGGGAAGGTAATTCCATCTTTTTCTGGTCATTTTGATGGTGATGATCCATCTCATATTTCCACTGACATGGTCCCTAGTGACAATAGTAACAACAGGATGATAGTTATTTCATGGTTAGGTTTCTTAGCGATGTTGATAGGTGATATTATTTCATATTCATTCCACCATTGGAATTGCATGTCTCGTTGTGAGTGTTGAGGCATAAGTCAATTACAAGATCAACCTGCTCAAACAATTTCATGTATGTAGCTTCTGAAAATAGATGTAATTTTATGTGATTCAAGAGTCTATTAATTGGTAATCATCTGTCATTAATTGTATTCTTGCAAGAGATTCTCCAGTGGAGAATTGGTGGAACAACCTCCCACATGTTCATTTTAACAGTAACTTGTATGTATAGTTGCTCCTCTTCCAAATCTATTTTGACATGATTATAAATATGCTATGAAGGGGATAGATACATTGGCTGGAGTTGAAGCAGTCATCAGCCATCTTGTCGTGAAGGAGTTTCAGATACCTTGTGCTCATGCACCTGCATTATTTCCTGATTCTCTAAGTTCTTCAGTGTCCCCAAGATCTGCTGCTGAAGAGGCAAGTAAGATACATTAATAGAAGTAATATTAGGTGGCTTGATGCTTATTAATAATTTTGCTTTTTTCATCCTTGCATTCTAATGAATTCATAGACCTGCTTATATCATTTTTGAAACTCATAAATTTGATAAGAATAATAAGAGGGATATATGGGAGTCCTATGTGAGAATAAATTATCTATTTCACAATGAAGTCATCCCTCTCTCTCTCTCTCTCTCTCTCTCTCTCTCTCTCTCACACAAACATTTCTGAATAAAAATACTAAAAATAAATTAATAGACAGCTCTGTTTATGGAAAATTACTCAGTGCTTATTGAAAATTTGTCCTAATACATGATTATTTCATTGTATGACTCAATTTGATTGTTCTTGTTGTTGAAACTTGGTTATGTTCCATTGGAAAGTAACACTTATGTACTTAAGCAATAAAACATACTTCTAACTTGCAAATTGAGGGAATCCATCCTTACTCTGACTCACATGAGACATTCAAGAATTATAATGCTCTTATCGTTAAGTTGATATTAATAGATAAAAAAAATCAATTTTGGTAGTTTTTGGAATGGTTTTTGTTTCATATGAGATATGATTATCCGGAGAAGATTAAATTCTGAGTATGCACAGTACTGGAATTGTCTTCTGTTTGAAACAGATATATTGTGTTTGTTACCAAAGTAAATTTTTTTATGCTGTAGAGATATATAAAAGTGGGAACAAGTTCTTCAGCAGCTAAAGGTTATATAAAATAGCTAGAAGTATGTTATGAATTGAAAGACTATAGGTTGGCTCGGGAATAAGTATTACATAGTATTTACTGTCTGTATCCTGATCAAGATCAGAAAAAAGAGTAAACCCTACGTCTCAGGTTTGATTTGTTGTTGGGACTGCCAATTCAGATAAGTTTTGGTGTCCAACATGCATGGCATGTCCAATGCAGATGATATGAGAAGATTATTGACTCAATTTCTAGTGTTATCAAGAAATAGTATACCTTCTTTTGAAGCTTTTATCAGGGATACCCACACTTGTAGGAGTCGTCACCATCTAGCATTGATAATGCTAGATCTTTCCCTTTATTTACCTTATTCGGAATTTGTAAGCTTGGAAGCAAGCACCTTTTATTCTTGTATTATTAGTAGGGCCATGCTTTCATCACACACGTCAAAGCCATTAAAGAGTATGGGAGTTCCAGAGATCGTAGTTGCCTCAAGTAATTTAATTCTGAAGCAACATCTCTGTTTTGTGAATCTCATTCTGAAGGCTTGCAAATGGCAGTGAGATTTTCAGGAAAGTGCTTGTACTGGAAGTTTTCTACAGGCCGTCGTAAAGGTTTGGTAAAATTCATATATCTCAGTCATGTCCTGGTGCAGGAACTAAGTAGTCAAAATATATGTTAGGGGAAAAAGAAATTTTGGTATTATATAGAGGTGCATGTTGTCTCAAATGTCATTGAATATCATGATACTTCATAGCACATAGCACAATATGAATGAAATTTACTAGACAATACACTTTCTGGATTCTGGAATACATGTGTGTGTGTGTGTAGAAATCAGACTTGTCTAGTGCATTCTGGATTGAAATCGCTTGGTGATCATGATCCCGTAATCGGTTTCAATCGTGTTAAACCTGGTTATTTGAATCCTCCGCTAAATTCGCAATGCTATGTCGTTTGACTGTCTAATTTGCATATTTAATCCTTCATAGGTGTAATATGTTTTTTCTACTATGATGTATTGTTTTGTCTTTGACACCCAATGATTATGCTTTTATGTTTAATCTTCTAAATCTCTTTATGCTACAGATTGGTTACACCTTTCTACCCTGCGTGCTTGCTGGATTAAGTGCAGCTCCCCAGTACGTGACAGCGGAGAACAGATCCTACAATGACGGTTACTTAATAGCTGGAGATGTTGACAGTGTAATTCTTCCTGCTGATGCCTGTGGCGGAGATGGTGCTCTTGCATTTGCAAGAGCGAAAAATAATAAGGTAAAATATATCGTGATTGTTTCTCATTAGCGACAAGCAAATTCTTATTCGACCTAATACACCACACATACCTTTTCACTTTTGTTAGCTATTTATTTGTTAGATAGATATTGATTTTTGAACACGTTGCAGCCTCTGATAGTTGCGGTTCAGGAGAACGAAACAGTGCTCAAAGATACGCCTGAGAAGGTCGGCATTCGAGCGGTACGTATTGCATCCTTGAGATCCATCTCGTATCGGTAATTGCTCTTCTGGTTTAAACAACCAAGTGATTTCACTTTGTAGACGAAAGTGCAGAACTACTGGGAAGCTATAGGCGTGGTTGCAGCTCACAAGGCAGGTATAAATCCAGAAGCCCTTAGAAGGGGAGGAATCGATAACGTCACAGCCCATACTCGTAAAATATCTTCTTCCCAAATGCACCATCAAGTCTATTCATTGTAAGATGATGACGTCTCGATTCATCGATCGAGCCAAGTTTCATTTCTAGTGTGGTGTTGTAATATTTATGCGAGCCACAAGGAAGAGATGGATCAAATCTTTGTTTTCAGGGTCAGAAGCAGTGGACGTGTCGACGTTTCCTTGCATAGCTTCGGAGGATAAAGCCAGTTCGTCATCTGCTTCCTCGACGGCAGTAGCCAACAGAGCAGGGGAGGAAATGTGCAAGTGTCGGGGAGATATTTAGTCCCCGCACCCATCAATCAATGCCTACAGAAGTGGAAGAAGGGCCACATGGCATGACACCCATAATTAATTACCGTCACAGCGAAAGAGAAATTGTCCACCTCATGGATTGGACGCGAAGGGGAAGGTTTTGTCATGTAATCTACGGAGGCATCGGTGACGCCCACATGGCCACATGCCACATGATAAGGAAGGTTGAGGAGGCGGTGGCATCTATTGGGAATCAGAAATATCATGACACGTATTACGATTTCGGGAAGCCGATGACGTACTTCCCATCAGAAATCTTAAAAAGAGGAAGAAAAAAGGGCCCACTTTCTCGATTCCGTGATCCTCCCCAGTCAAGGGCTGACACCGAAGGCCATTCGAGTGATGGCAGCATGGGTGGGTCCCCGCTGCAAGAGTCGTCACTCCAATCGCGTGACTCCATTTTCCAGTCAGTCAGTACACGCAGTAGGAATCGTGTTACATAAAAGGACGATTCAAATGGCAGAAGTAGCTGTGACCCCACCGCCTCTGAATCACTCGCCCACAGCTGGCTGGGGTCTCATCTGCTGCACCGTCCGGTCATCCGTTCGTACCGAGTGGATTACGGGGCTGAGACCCCAAAGAGTTTCCTGTTACACACACACTCTCTCTCTCTCGTTCTCTTCTTGTGGACTTTAACAAATAGATTTGTCTATTCCTGCGGATATCGGAAATCCTGCAATGAATGAGAGAGAGAGAGAGAGATAGAGAGACCAGCAATAAAATACGACGACGTTGATGAACCCAGTGGAAACTCTCCTGCTCACGATGACATGCTCTTACCGACTACCCACCAACCCACCCACCCGTTTCACCTCGTCCTAACTCGTGTCGTGCTGAACGAGCCACTCTGAAGAGTTTGTAATGGGATAACTATTATCCGTGAGGTTCCATCAAAAACGAAAGCAGAATTACTATTTGCACGAATGTTGATGTGTAGACGCAATCGATCTCACATCACGGTCGGATGAAAAAGGTGAAAAGCTTTTGTCATGAGTCTCTCCTTTAGTTTTGGATTCTTTTCCCTTCGACTTACGAAGATGATGACATGACACAAGACCGAGAAGTCGTGCTTCAACGTTCTCGTTTTATCCCCACTTCTCTCCTCCATCTGCACCGCACGTGACTCAGCGACTGACGCGTTGCCTCTCTCTCTCTCTTAAATATCTCACGAACTATTGAAAATATCGCGATTTATTGGCGCACCGGAGAAAGAGAAGGCGTCGGGTAAAGCCATAGGCCATCGCAGCCGTTGGCAAAACGGATCGCACCTCAGCGAAACCAACGTGATCAGACCGTTCAACTCGCATCGGACGAGGGGAAAGAAAAGAGGGAATCACTTGTGTGCCTAATGTCCTTTTCTTCTTCCTCCATATTTTATCTAAAATCAAAAGGCTTTTTACAATAAAAGAAGTAAGAAAAACCCAAAATAGCGAGATCCATCGACGACTGTGTCAGACGGCCGGAAGCGATTCCGGCCGCCACGAGAGGTCGTACGGCCCGGATATCTCGTCGCCGTAGTCGAACAACCCTCCGTCCAACACCAGGCCATCCTCCGCCGCCTCCCTCTCATCCGGCCGAATCCCGAGGCCGAACCCCTCGTACCCGTCGATGGCGTCGTCGAACCCCCAGATCTGTCCCAACCCGGCGCCGCCCTCCGGCTCGGCCACGGACCCCAGCTCCGACGCCCCGGCGGCCACCCCGGCCTCGTCGACCGACCAAAGGGCGGCGGTCGGCGGGAGGCCGAGCTCGTCGTCGGAGGCCTCTAGGAGGTACCCCAGGTCGGGCTGTCCCGCCACGGCCGACGGTTCCTGAACCAGCTGTTGCTTCGGAGGCGGCGACGGCAGGGCGATCTCCTCCTCCAAGCTCTTGATAACGGAGGCGAGGTCTTGGTCCCCGGCGCCGGCGTCGTCATCAAGTATGTCGAAGAGGAGATCCGCCCGAAGACGCTTGACCTCTGGCGATTCCAACTCGTCGGCGTCCTCCTCGCGGAGGCGCTTGTGTTCACCGGAGCTCTCCATGAAGAAAATTCGATTGGGAATGGGGCTATTATGGGAAGATAAAATAAAGCGAACCAAGAAAAAGTGAGGGTACAGTGGGAAGGTTCAGGGTGTTTTGGGCAGGGCCGGGGGGGTTTGATGTGGGTGTTTATATAGGGACGAGGGTGGTGTCTAATTTTCCAGGGGCTTTTTGGCGAGAAGACCATATAACGGGCATTAACACTCAATAAAAAGATCAGAGAGAGAGAGAGAGAGAGTAAAAGGTAAGGCAAAAACGAGGGACGAGGAGAAAGCGACCGCTAGGGAAGGCGTGGGAACAGAAGGGGGGGGGGGGAATTCCACGGTCATCGTCACCGTCACCGTCACCGTCACGGGCGCAAAGCTTTCCCCGTTTCCTTTTCCAAATTTAATTTCCTGGACGCGTCCGTCTTCAAACGGATTTCGAGTCCGGGTTTGGCGTCCGCGGGGGGAGTCGTCCCACCGCCAGCGCGCCACATCTTCAGCGGCTCGGCTTTCGGCTCGTTCGGCGTGCGTTGATTTTTGCTGCCGAGGATAAGAGCGAGATACAAAAGACGGTGGTGATTTCACCACCACCCAAAATTCCTATTATAGGTCGGGCGTTCGCCCTGCAAAACGGATTCACTGTGTAGTTGCACATGGTTTTGCCGGTTCGTGTTGAGCGCCACTTCGTTTGTGGGTCTACGAACTAAATCCACGTTCCGACCTGCGGATTAGGTCCAAGCCTCTGGCCTACTACTCCATTTGCTCACTGTGTGCTGCGGTGACGTTAGGTTCGCAGTCGCGCTCAGCCACGCCCAGTTTTGGATGCCTACCCTTTTTCGGAGTAACGTGCAATTGGCATATGGTAGGTTTCGGATTTGGAACCTCGATCTCTCCGCCCACTAGAACGTCAGGAATGCTAGGATTTTTTACAAGGGATCAATGTCCAGCCCTCGGCAAAGTGGATGCCATCGCTTTCGGGTGCTTTCGTCGGCGTCGAGTCAAGTCCACGTACGACCAGTAAGTCCTGGCGAGGCCTGCCGCACCACAAGTCCAAACGCGCTCCTCAGCGGACACGCAATCGGGGAATAGAAAAGAAGAAGCCTGACGGGTTAGGTCGATTCCATCCCCTACCCACACAAAACCACGTGGCACCAACGACTGGTCCGTCCGGCTTTTAATTCCTGCATGCAGGCGACCTCTGTGGATCGTTCCAAATCCTTTTCTCCCAATTAATACGTCGAAGCAACAGCACCAGCAGTGGTTAGTGGTCCGTCCACGTCGTCCCATCCATCCCATTGGTGCATCATGCCGTGTTGGCTGCTTGGCTAGCTAAATCAGGTGCACGCGAAAAGGACCGCTGAAATAAGTGCGGTTTGCTTGCCTACAGAGCTTGATTTAGCACTGGGACAGAATCCGGAGATGGAGGTCATGTCGAAGCATCGTCCTTGATTTCCTGCTGACGCTCCATGATCTGATTAATGCGCCCGATACAATGACGTGGAGCCCCCACACGCTAAGGAACAAGAGGTGGGTGGTGGCGATCGTCGTTGGCACGACATCGAATCGTTCACTCATTTAAGGGAGATGTGGACGTGACGATGTCGGGGTCACGTGCCGACGTTACGATACACGTGAGAGGTCGTGAGCGGCGGGGGTGGTTGCGTGCGTTGTGTTAGGTCGCCGTGCGGAGGATTCGAGACCGCGGAGTCGAATCCGAGCCGAAGGATGGCGAGTTTTAGCCGATGGAAAGCCGGCTCCGCTTTCCCCGACACCACGGTCCACGCGTGTCAGCTCTATGTCACGTGGGAATCCAATGGTACAAAGACTTTTTTTTTTTATCTTGGCCTTTTTGTGCGGGGCCCATAAGAAAAAGAGGGAGCGGAATTGAGGTGGGACCCGCCCGAACCAACTCGCGCGCCTGCTCCGGTACCGCGGCAGAAGGCAGGTTTGTTTGCTGGCTCCAACGCCGGCGTGGAATTAGCCAAATTCCAGGTCACGAGCTGCTGGCTACTGGTCTTGGGTAGGTTACGGTCAGATCCACATGAGGAGCACGCAAACGTCGTGAGAAAGAGGCTGCGAAGAAATGGTTGGATAAGACGGGAGGGAGGGTGTAATCTCGTGAATGGCACCCTCTGGAACACCAAAATGACGAACGATACCCACCGCTCGGCGGCTAAGCTCTATGGCTTCGTAAAAGTAATATCTACCGGTGATTCCTCCGACCCTGCGACACATGGCGATACGTTAAACAGATGGGGGGGAAAGTAAAGGTCGCCATCGGTCCACGATCGTTCGGGTCGCGCCGGTTCACGTGACGAGAGGTGCGTCGCACGAGGAGGGCTTCGGGAAACACGAGGCCAGATTTATATGTATTTTTATTTTCTCCTTTTAATTCGATTCCCAAAAATAAAGAAAACCAAAGTGACAGTACAGATATATTTTCTTAATTAGATGTATATTTCGAGATATATTTTGTATACATAACTTGGAGAAAATAGTTGCGGATGGAATCCATTAAATAACCGGAGATTACGAGTTAGATTATTAGTACCAACATGATAAAAACTGTTGGGGAGTTTGTCCCACGCGGTACAGACACGTGGACCCCAAACCCTGCAAGAAGAAATTGATGAGGAGGTGCAGCCAGCTGTGAGCGATTTATGGGTGTTTGGTCCATCCTCTAATCTACCGCTCCCGTTTCTTTCGTTTGTGTCGATGAACACGATTCCTACTACCATGTACGGGTGCTGAAGGAGTGACGAGTGGTGCAGTCCGACGGTCCCTCCGATTTAGGTGGGTCTTAATGGAGTTTGGGTTGCAAACAACGGCTAGCTTCCATCCACAGGGGTAATGGGTCCTACCGCTTGATTCGAAGCGGATCCGCTCGGCTCGACTCGACTGGTTTTCCAGCTCGACGGTGATGCATACGTACACCGTCGATGATGCTTCGCTATCATGAGTTCAAAAGCAACAGTAGATCATGCGTGACACGTGTCGCCCTCCTTTGGGTTCACACTCTGTTCTATTCTTGGTTTCCTCAACACTAAGGTACGTGAGAAACCTTCTACTCTGTTTTCTTCCGCCTTCGTATTTAGATCCTTTTCAAGCTTCTTGGAGTACTAATCTCGCGAAGAATCGTTTGATACTTAAATTAGTAGGGAATTTGAAATAAGTAGTGTGTAAGTTTTGTCGAATGGGGTTAAAGACTTAGTACATGTGTAATTTCTGTCGCTTCCCACGAACGATGTTCGAATCGAGAAATATTGATCAATATCCCGTCGCGAGGGTTCAACCAACCTCGACATCTAGTTCGATCGATAAAAGACTCCCGATATTGATCCATGGATCAAATCGTGTCGACTCATCAATTACAACACATTTACTCATCAATAATTTTGAATCGTGAAGACGTGGATCGAATAATCATATGAAGATTTACACCGACTTTAAAAACTTAGTTACACGTTTATTTATATGAGTATTGATGTTGATATCGAATTAGCATTATCGTAAAATGATTGTTTGAGATATATGATTCAGCATAGGTCTATTTTTTTTTAGAAGAAATAAGATTTGATCATTTAACTAGTCATCTTTCTATTTTATCATTATTTTTATTTTAAATGAGAACTTATACTTTCTCTTGTTTTATTAGACTAGGATAAGATGTCTTGAAGATAAAAACGATCCCGTGTGGTCGATCTCTTTCCTATGTAGTATATAATATTATTATAATATTTATTTTATTAAATCAAAACATCAAATCATATTAGGTTTGGGTTCGATATTTTTCGATTTAATATTATTTTTTTTAAATAAAAAATTCTAACAGACGAGAAAGATATCATTATAAAACCAATCGAAAATAAAATAATAATAATAATAATGAACTAAGCAAGAGAATTAAGATTGAAATTTGGGATGACCAAAAGAGACTACGAACCTTCCTCGACCATTCAAAATAGAACAAAGAATCTAATGCCTTTCGTATGTTATCGGGTTAGGTTTTCTACATGGAAAAAAAGAAACATAAAGCCAGCCGGAAAAGTTTCTCAATACCTACAACAAAACACGCCGTGCAAGTCCGGTTAGCTTCGTAGAAGCTATAACAAGTCCGCATCAGCTGTCGAGAATGAAGAGAAGTAAAGCATGAACGCGTGCGACATCATCTGAACTAGACTTTTGGGTTGAACTTGGGAGTCAAACCAATACGATGAATGGAATCTTGAGGAGCACGACGAGGTAATTTGTCGATTGAACACGCACACGATTCCCTCCTCATCTTCTGTTCACAATTTCTACATAGCTCTCGACTTGCTTGCCATCTTCCAAAAACTTCGCATCACGCACTTGATATTATTGGAATAGATAAAGATAGTCAACCGACGACCACGAAACTGAGCTAAAGGATGAATCCATCAGTGCTACTTGTACTGTTCTACGTGCGATGCATGTACAATGTGTGTCGAATACCTACTTCCTATTCTCACACTCGCTAATTTTGTTTTAGCTGATGATTTAGATTATGTTAATCTATCTAATTAGATGAGATATATTTTATATATAATCATATTTTAATTATGATTATCGACTAATAAAAGAAATGATTTATTAAGAGATAATAATAGGACAAAAATTCAATAGAAAAAAATTATATGAAAAGAAGAAAACATGCATCTAATTCTCTCTTTAGATCGGTATTGCTGTATAACTTTTTGATCGGACGAGAGTATACTTACAGATTAGATAAAAATTTTCTAAATGATATTGAATGATAGATACATCTAAAATTTTGATCTATGATTATTTAATTTTAAATTTTGATATTAATTTTTTTATATAATAATAAATCATCTTCCATCCTTCCATAGCACAAACCCTAAAGTTACACGAGCATCTACGCACCAAACCATCATTAAATCCACGCGATGCACGCCATCTTCTAATAATAATAATAATAAGTAGAGTCTTGCCATCTAACCATAAACCTTTGGATTCAAGTAGGCGTGAGAATATAAACATGTTAAGTAGATGACAGTGGCACAAAACTGTGCGTCCCATCGGGTTGTTCTTTCCTCACGCCGCCGTCTTGGATAGCACCGCACCGCAAGTAATACGGATCGTTGGGCTGCAAGAATATTGGGCCGTGTTAGATTAGTCTCACGCGGGTTGGCCTTTCCCGGACCAACTGCACCGCCGAGGGAGTAATGCCGACTGCCGATGGAGAATCCGCTGAGAAAGCTCGATAACCGGCAACAGCAGCAGCAGATCCATCAACATCTTTCTCACAACGCAGGAGGACAACATACACAACCAACCGAAGAAGAATGCATGATTTCTGAGTATCAAATTCTACGTTGTGTGCGGAGGAAGAAACACATAAACCGGAAAGAAAATGCCCTATTGTCGGGCTGCATTGGGGACTTCGTGGATGCGCCGGAGCTCCCAGATGTCATGGTCTTCCTCCTCCCACAGGACGAGGCTCCCAGCCTCTCCGCCTCCCCTGTCCTCGCACCGGAGGAAGTCCTCGTCCGCGAAGGGGAACCAACCCGAGAGCTTCTCCTCGTCCACGCCCCACCACAACCACCACCACCAGCACCCGGACACGCCACCCAACTCCGCCTCCCCATCCCACTCCACGGCTCCAGCCTCCTTCGTCGAGAAAGGAGAAGACTCCGCCGCGGCGTGAGCCAGACTTTCGTCTTCTCCCGGAGTCTCCCGTGTCTTCTCCGTCGATTCTGCGGCCTCCCTCGCCTTCGTGCCCTCCCACTCCTTCGCCCGCCGCTGGGCTTTGCCGGGAACCTCCGAGAGGACCTCGTGATCTGGCGCGCTCTTTCGTTTCATCTCCGCTTCTATTCCTGTGTTTCCTGCGACTGGCGAAACAGAGGCAGTCATACCATATATATATATAGAGAGAGAGAGAGAGAGAAGGGGGAAACAGAGCGATGCCTGTATAATTTAATTGTATTAGGAAACTGTTTAAGAATAACTCCACAAATATTTATATATTTAATTAACGTATAATCTCTATATATTAAGCCTCGCCATTTGGATTTAGATTTATCTAATTAAAATTTCGACACAAATTATTGTGGATTTTTGGTACATTGATAAATCTATTAGATCCTATCACTTATTATGGGTCGAATCTGATACGTATAATTCGACATTTTTTATTTTCTCTCGATAATACAAGCAATGCGATTTATGAGGTTCACTGGGGAAATATGAGGTGCAGAGAAGAGGATGTCAGCCGCATCGCTCTCGCAGCGAGAGTTGTCGCTGCCACATGGCATGGGTTGCGTGGACTTTCTTGTCACGTCACCTCTCGTTAATGCATGCAATGTCCGAACACACGTTTTCTTTTGTGCCTCGAGAGAGTGGAGAACGAGTTCGCGACATGGGATGGAGTTGCAAGGAACGGACGAGGACGCGGTACCGGCGGTGGGTAAGCAGTTTCCTTTCGTTGGACCTCACCGCCGTACGTGATGTCGAAGCTTCCGGTTGTTTATTATTGGCCGAGGAAAGCTCCGACCGGTCTTCTACGCCACGATTGACGCATGGCATCGGCACCCCTTCGCTCGTCCACTTCCCACTTCCTTCTTGCCCAAGTAAGGAGGTTCCCAATTGACGCATGGCGTCGCCCCTCAGTGCTCGTCCCCTTCACAACCCAAGAAATTGTCGCAGGAAAGCAACAGATTTGAGACGCGGAAATATTAAACCTTTGTTCACACATGAAATTTCTTGGAGCTCTAAGAATAGAAATTTCTTGGTCGATATAAGATTTTGATTCTTTTATTCGTCGACCGGTGTAGAGTTGAACGTACCCATCAATTATGACAGTCATCCATGCTTCTTGATATCATGATTGCCCTCTCACGTTATTTTAATCTGTCAAGACTTTATTATAAAATTCATCCTTATATTTTTATTATAAAAAAATTAATATCAACAATATATAAATTAATAAATTAATTTTAGGATACATAATTTTTGATATTATTCATAAATTTTTTATCTGATCTGTATTATTGTTGAATCCGAAAGCTATAACGATATTAATACACGAGAAGAACTAGATTTGTTATTCTCCTTTCTTTCTATCATTTACAAGATCATTATTAGCGTTGAATTAAGGATAAAGAAAGATTAGATAATGTCATCTTTCAATGACTAATTCTATGTATTTACATATTATCTTATCTACGTATTTGTGTATCCATATATGTCTACACAAACATCATATTTTTAGTTTCTAGAAGATTTTATTTATTTATAAGTGAGAGCAAAAAGTTTAAGATCGTCTTATGAATGAATCCGTATATTCATGTATTTGTATTCAATTTTTAATCTTTAAATTTTTTATTTATTTAAATATAAAATTAGAGAGTCTATAATAAATAATTAGGAGAGTCATTCTCATCGAAATAATCTTCTAAAATTTTTTAATATATTTTTATAAAATATCTAATTTAATTAACTATGATCATATAATCCAACACTTAATTCATTAATCTATCGCCAACAACCATTTTCTTATCAAGAAGCTTTTTCTAAAAGAACAGCGTTTCAAGTCGTTATCAGGCACCTGCACATTGACTCGGCTTCCGGTGGTACGTCTCCGAAAATAATTTCATGATTGCAATCATATCTTATCCTACCGCTAGTTTGATGGCACGAGATAAGAACTGCGCGCACGTCTCCAACGAGCGATTAATCGCACGGGGCCCGCCACCAATGTGTGGGACCCCATCCTGTCATGCTTGCTTAAGATGAGGAGGGGAAAGGAAAACGCGGCTTCACGTCCGGCCACAGGCCGAGCACGAGATGTCGGCAAAAGAAACCACACCCACGAATTGGGTTTGCCTGTAGATTGAAGCGGATGATGGGAGACGTGTGACATCGTAATGTTCCCACCCACCGAGTGGTCCGCGTGAAATGGCTACAGAACCCTTCAACATGTGCACTCGATTGCAAACAATGATGAGACGTGTGACATTATACTGTTCCCACCCGAGTGATCCGCGTGACATAGTTACTTGATTCGTCACTCGTCCTTTCAATATATATTTAATATATATATTTTTTATTCATATATGAATTTAGGAATATTTCAATAATGAATAATTCAAACAATGAGATAATTCAAATTTTTTTTTTGCTTAAAGAAAGATTATGTTCAACCTCACACAGCCACACAGGGGGGGAAGGGAGAAAAAGAAACGAAGGAAGAAGAAGCAGAGGTGCATTAGGAGATAGAAGTAAACACCAGTTAGATGCACATAAACACGACTCATTCCTTGATCCCCATTTTCCAAGTCATGGAGAACGTCTTCCCCAGAGGCAGCGATAGCCCTCCGACCTCCACAATCATGCTGGTTCTCTTACTCCCACCACCCTCCAGCTTCGCTTGATGCATCACTGCATGAGACTCGGTAAAGTGAGCACCGGCAGCATCAGCCCAAGGCTCACCATCCACCTCCACCACGAGCCCCTGTCCGTTCCCCTGCAGTCCCAACACACACACCTTCTCGATCAGCAGTCCCTTCTCCAAGCTGAAGGCTCCCATTTCCACTTCCGACCACACCTTCACCGTGCTCCCGCTAACAGTGGCGTAGAACTCGATGAAGGAAGCCTCTCCTTCCGCAAGCTTCATCTCGGGCCGCTCGTCGTCGTCCACATACACGCTCCCTTTTGCGTCTCCTTGGGTGGCTCCGAAAGGGAAGGCAACGACCAGAGTAAACGGCGTCGTTCTTGCCTCCTTAGAGTTGGTTCCCCCTCTCTGCAACGGAAGTATAGTGTTCTGGTACACATGCGCGTTGACCGCGTTCAGAGGTGCATCGAGTGTTACGAAGCGATCGTCCTGCGACACCACAGCCTTGGTCATGTCGAACAAACTGTACCAGGTGCCGGGAGGAAACATTGCTTTCACGGATGTCGCGGCCTTCTTCAAGACCGGAGATACCATGACGCTGGCCCCCAGCAAGAACTGAGTGCTGAGGCCGTAGCTCGACGTGAAATTGGGGAACGAGAAGAAGACGGGCCTCGCCATCGGCGCACCGGTGGTGTGAGCTTCGTAGTTCAGCGTGTACAGATACGGAAGCAGCTTGTACCTCAAGCCCAAAGCGTTTCTTGCCGACTCTGCCACCGACGCCCACTGGTACAGCTCTTGCCTCGGTGAAGCAAAGTTGGCGTGGTCTCTGGAGAAGGGATAGAACGCACCCAGCTCGATCCAGCGGTTGCAGAGCTCCTCCGTCGGCGCCGGATAGAACCCGCAGATATCCGATCCGACCATGGGCATGCCGAAGAGCCCAAAGTTCAACATGGTGGAAATGGAGTAGCGAAGGTCGTCCCATGTGCCCTTGTTGTCACCCGTCCAGTGCGCAGCGTACGCTCCCGAACCCACAAAAGTGGAGCGGGAAAGAATGAAGGGGCGTTTGCCCTGAAGGCCTTGGAGGGCCTTGTGCGTAGCAATGGCTTGGGAGAAGCCATACAAACTATGTGCGTTGTACTCCAGAATTCCATTGTAGTGCGTGGCGCTCGTGGCTATCGTTTTGAAGCCCAACGGAGCTCGAGACCCTGAAGCGTTGATCTTGTAAGGCGGGTCGTCCCATCTGGTATCTGTCAGGTTCTTGCAATCCAAGCAGCAAACCCATGGGGTGGTGGATCCAGGTATCGGGCACGAATGGTTGGTCGGGAGCTCACATTTCCCGGTGCAGAAGTTGGAAGCCTCGTTCATGTCGATCCAGAGGCCGTCCACCGGCACCATCTCGTGGAACCGGGCAATCTCATCGATCCACCACGAGACGCCGTCGGGGTTCAGGTAGTCGGGGAAGTAGACGGGTCCGGGCCACACTTGAGCCAAGTACGGCTTGCCTTCGTATTTGATGAACACATTTTTGGCCATTCCTCTCTGAAAGACACCGTAGCTGGAGTTGACGGCGATGCCGGGATCGATGAGGACGATGTACTTCATGCCCCGCGAGTGGATTCTGTCGAGGAACTCGAGGAGCTTCGGCCGGTGGTAGTTGACGGGGTCGAGCGTGAAGTCCTTGGCTGCATCCATGTGATCGTCGTCGTTCCAGATCACATCCAGAGGTATTTGGGCGTTTCTGTAACCCTCCACGACTCCTTCCACCACGGACAGGTTTTGATAGCCCCATCTACATTGGTGAAAGCCTGTGTGGAAACAAAAGGAAGCTTTGAGAGCTGAGACAAAACAGAACTATACCAAAGATACGTCGCATCCGCATTTAGTTCGAGTGGAGATATAAGTGCCGGCGACAGATCATATGCAACGCCAACCTAAATCCCTTCTGCATTAAGGGATTAGATATGCTTATCGATCGTAAGAACAAATATGATGGTTTACCTAAAGCCCAGTATGGCATCGGAGCAGGACGACCGATCAGAGTAGTGTACTGATCCACGACCGCCAGAGGCGACGGCCCGGCGAAGAAGAAGAAGTCGAGCACGCCTCCGATGACCTTGTAGGTGAGAGAACTCCCTGTATAGAAGACATCCATCCCATTGCTGTTGAGCAACAGGACTGCGTGAGCGGTGGCTTCTCCTCCCTCGTTCCTCAAGTCCATGTACACCGGGTGAGACCCATAGAGGTCGGTGTTGAGATTGATGGCCGAGATGTCGGTGGTGTAGAGAGTGTACGGGTCATTAGGGCGGAGCCGTATCCCACCGGGTTGCGTGTTCTCCCCCAGCCCGTACAGTGCAGCTGTCTTGGGCAGATGAGTGGAGATTTCGAGATACTGGTCCTTGAAGACCATGGTGCCGTAACTCGAATCGAACAGCGTCTGCCCATTGGATTTCCTCCTCACCGCGAACGTGAATGGATCGGAGGTGAAGCTGAAGATGAGATCGCCCCCTGCGTACTCCGACGCCGTGAAGGGAGAAGACGAAGCTTTCGCCCCCGGTGGCGGGGGCTGATCTCTCGGGAGCAAGTCGTAGGGGACTTCCCATCTTTGTTCTTCCGCATCAGTAATATGAACCCTCAATCGATCCTGGGTTTCGTGCCTACAAATGATTAACAATAGCTGTAAAGATCCGCCATAGATTTCTATACAAGACCATCATAAAAGAATCCCTATACAACACACCTGCTACTATAAACAATTAAGATTTGCTCTCAAGATCATCTCCTAGAATTAAGAACATGCTTTGAGGATGTATCAGCGAACATCTTCCTCAAAAACGAAGACAAAAAAGAAAAACGACACCCACACTGCCTTCTTTCTCCCTGAATCTTAGATGCATAAATGTATGCCCCTAGAGAGACTCAGCTAAGCAACAAGAACACCATAACACCATCCTCGTGTGATCAAAATGTGAGAAACAGTACGATCATACCCAGAATATTGAAAGTAGAAAACTGGTCCAAGAAATCTTCATAAAAAGAAACCCATTTGATGTTCGACAAAAGGCATCAAGTCACTTGAGAAACGAGCAGAACATGATTTGCTCGTAGATGTATGCTGGTAGAGGCGAAAGAAAGCAGAAGATGATATGCTTTCTACAACACCTCAGTGATAAACCACTTGAAGGTGTACTTCCCCGACAAATTTTGTCAGCATTACGAGCAACTCATGACCTTTCAACAGAGTTGCGCAAAGGAACACAGCAAAGGGGAAAGAAAGAGATGGAAATGCAGCAGAGGTTAAAGATCTATGGTCTAAAAGGTCATTAAATATATTATCTATACACTGATAAACCATCTTGTTGTTTCCGTGATGTCTTGTCTAAAAGGAAATTATAAGTATACTTGTATTTGTTCCCTTACTTCACAAAAAGCCTGAGATGGGGGATATCGGGGCCATAAGTGGAGGTGCTCTGCTTCACTTGGAGATACCCTATCAATCCACCTCCGTTTGTGCTCTCCTCGATGGAAACCAAGCGATAGCCAAAACCAACCTTCGGAGGCTTGGCTGCAGCACTGAAATGAAGAGCAAAGAGAGTGGTAACACAGCAGAGAGCAAGGTGCAGAAGAGAAGGGGAGGAGGAGGAAGAGGATGACATCCTTCTTCTCCACATTATAGGAGATGGGACTGGCCAAACAAAACAACTCTAGGAGCTTAGCCACTGTTGGCTGCTACATTGTACGAGCTGGGAGTGGTAAGAGTAGGTAGATATAGAAAGTGACGACCCCGAAAGATGGTCAGTCCTTCAATATCATCGTCATCCCAAACACGTGAAGTCTCTGCAAGTGAGCTGGGTGGGCCTTCTCTTAGGGACCCATCCACTGAAGAAAAAAAGGAAAGCAATTCTCTATTTTCTCCGCCTTTTTCTTGACTCTATTTTCACATAGTAACCAACTAATGGAGAAGATAACAAGAAAGAGAGAGAGAGAGAGATGATCTCCAGGGATTTGATTCTCCCACTGTGATGTACTTTTGGCATCTTATCCTTACCTTCAATCAAGGCTAGTTTTATGATCGCGGCATGGCAGTGACTGGGTCATGCTGAGGAAGTGACAAGACATCAAGATAAGCATAATGTTTGGCGTCTATCAGTTGTTGGTTCATGGATCACGGCTTTGTCATTGACCATTGAACGCACAAACATACCAACTTTTGATGCTAAATCATCTCAACCAACCTCCCCACCCCCAAAAAATACATCATGTTCTTGATGATTGTCGTGTGAGTCCAATTGGACAGCAATTATAACTTGATCTCGGCAGACATGGTGGTGGTCATGTCTTCATGGACTAATGCCAACATTGGATTTATTGGTGGAGAATCAACGGATCGTTTCTTTAGCATAAAAGAAGACACTCTCTTCTGCAAACAACTAGCGGATTCTCTGGCCAAGTCACGTTAACAAAAGTTACCCGAAAAGGTAATTTGCACGCCATTGTAATTTCTTATCATACGATCTACTATGGATTTGTTTGTTTCTCAGACGCCTGTTAGGATTCTGTACGTTCTACTGCATCACCTATCTCCGGCTGCTGTCGCCAGATCATAGCCGGACGGACAACGGCGGGGTCCATGAAGGGCAGCGCACGCCGTGACCGAGAGCGGACGATGGTGCGCTTCCGCTCATGTGAAGCTGAGGTGAGACCACCACTCCAAGGAAGGGGACGCGTCGCTTTGTCCATATCGACAGCCCCCATGTGAGAGCCACGCCATCCGTGTCTCCTCCTTGGAACTCTAAACCAGTCGCCCTACGCTGTAGATCTCGGGGAGCCACAAGTCCCGCGTCCGAGTATTGCATGTTGTGTACTAACGAACGTAAATGCTCGGAGATATCATTTTGTTACCGTGTTCTGAGAAGATGTTGTGATCGGGGGTGGAATATCGAGGCGGCTGTCGATGTGATCGAGCGTGCCGAGGTCGGGATGTTCGTAGTGATTAAAGTGGATGCAAAAGCGAAGGGCCATCGGGCGCTGGGGCTGCAGGAAAAGGAGATGCCCCGTCCTACAGGGCCCGGAGAAGGATGGTGGAGTGGAGGCTGTGGACCTCAAGGGGAAGCTGTGACTTCATTTCACTGTGAAACGGTAGGAGGGTGTGAAGGGATCGGTACTGTTGTCAGTAGGCCGACAAGCAAGCTGTAACTGTTTGACTCGGAACCGGATTTGGGCCTCACTGCTTGTCGTTATTATGCACCAGCCTCGACCATTGTGTTCTTGGGCTACGTAGAAGAGAGAAGCGGTAGAGAGAGGTATATCGAGTGTTCTTGGCGTCTCCGCAAGAGTCATGTTTCGTTTTCCACGATATTTCCACCCCCTCAAAACGTGACTTGCCATTTGGTCCAAGTCATGATGGACGAGGCACGGAATGAGTTGTTCCATCTTTCTTCTCACGGTAGGAGACGACTATCCCGAGGTGGTCTCTGCATGGCGCATTTCTCACGACTTCGGCATGAATTCGACGATGCCATTTCTCACGATCGAAAGCCATGATTTGCTCGGATTATGATTAGCGTGCATTGGATTCTTTGTCGGAGAGACGAAACCTTTCTCTCCTTCAAGCACTGTATCGGACGTCGATGCTGATCCCCATCGACGAGGACGCATGCAAGCACCGAGAAGGAGAGACCTCGTATGTGGCCATACGCCTTCCATTCCTTTTTGTTCTTTTTTTTTTCCACTACGCGAGAGAAACACACATCTTTTTAAAGCGATTCAGAGAGTCCAAAGTGCTCGATGCTTTGTTTTAGAAAAGCGTAAGCAGCATCAACACCTTCAATAACATTCGACAATGACATTATCCTGTTGCAACATTGGAGATTCTTTCCGTGAATTGCTTCCAAAAATTGATTCGTACGCCGGTATTTGCATGGATACTTAGCATGGATGTCAAAGAACTCTCTTACTTGTCACCGCAGTCCTTTCGAACTCCCTTCACGATCCTTATTCGTGGTGGAAATTACCGAAATAAAAAGGAAAAAATCTATCAGATAAGGTGTGCGTGTTAGATCTACACCTAATAATAGTATGCACCACAACGAAGTATATTATCCTGCGGACCAGCGACCCGTAGTGCACGTGAATAGCTTGACATGGTGGGGCAACGAACACGTTTCCTCCTTCCCGTCGTATCATCACCCCTCCACCGCCCAAGAGAAGGGCCATCAGCAATCGACCTAATGACGTCACCGTCTTGACGTCATCAGAGCAGGTATGACGTCGTCACTTCAGATCTATCGCCTCGACAACTTTTCGTTTTCTCTTTTTCTTTTAAAAATTATTTCCTTGTCCGCATAAATAAATAAATAAATGTATATTCTGTCAGACGTTCCTATTTATTTTGTCTGCGAATTCTTTTGCATCCGTTCGCAGAGGAAACGACGGGGAGGGAACAGTCAACCGCTGATCTATGGCGACGACGAAGCGGCCGGGGGGCGATGGGACGGAGGAGGATAGGCGCACGCGGCGGCGCCGGGTGGCGGAGGAGGAGGTCACCGACGACGAGGTCGAGGAGTTCTTCGCCATCCTCCGCCGAATGCGGGAGGCGGCCAGATTCTTCGCCGCGAGGAGCGGCGGCGAGGCGAAGGGGGAGAGGGAGAGGCAGCGGGCGTGGAGGTGGCGGCCGGCGTTCGAGAGGGAGGACTTCGAGGAGTCGGGCGGCGCCGTCGATGATGCCGGGAGGAGGAGGAGGAGCAGGAGGAGGGGCGTGGACGCGACGACGGAGACCAGTGGCGGGAGAGGAAGATCAAGGGAGGTGACCGCGAAGGACGAGGTGGACGAAGCGGTGGCGGAGAACGGGAACCCAGGTCTGTTCCTCGATCTGAACGCCGAGCCCGCCCGCGAAGAATGACCGAACGGTGCGCCTCGGCGGCGGCGGTGACGGTATCCTTTTAATGCATGTTAAGCTTAATTTCCGGTGTTATTTCGGTGTGGCTTGACTTAGTAACCATTCCGACGCCAAGTTCATGTTGCTCGAAGTGGATTTGGTATTCGTGACATCTTCCTTTGTCGTTGTGTTTCCCTTTTATTTAGGTAAAGGTGTGTGTTTCTCTTAGTTATCAGTGCGAACCCACCGCCTGTATAGGATTCCGTCATTCATCTTCTTCTTTCATGTGCACCGCCACTCTTCCGAATGCCTCCAACCCTTTATGTGTAATCTCATCTGAATCTTCTTGCTCACAGTACTGTATTTATATTACTCTCTCTCTCTCTCTCTCTCTCTCTCTCTCTCTCTCTCTCTCTCGGGTGTGGACAAAGAACTATCTTTAATTCTGGTATCGTTTGCAATCTCGATTAGTGTCATTCCATCCAAAGCTCAAATCTATATAGGTGACTGCCTATGACATAACTCTTTGAAGAACAATAGTATTTCGAACACAAATTCTCTAGGAGAGGCGGAAACAAAAATCATTCGTCCATATTCGAAGATCAACACAGCTTTAGTTGACGAATTCGCAGGTACGTTTCTCCTCCCCAAAGAAATGAGAGAATCCCACATATTTGCGCTTGCTTCAGCTTCGTAAAGAACAGTTGACAAGACACGGGTGGTTTGATTCTAGAAGACTGGTTATTCTCATCTGTGAAACAACGAGACATCTCTCTCTCTCTCTCTCTCTCTCTCTCTCTCTCTCTTTTAGCAATAATACAATCCTTTTGGATTCGGAGTTATCGAAGCTTGACACTATTAATGTCTTTACAAGAAAGAAATTTCTTGATAAATCAATTAGTGATCCATTAAAGTTAAATTACCATATTATTAATCGGAATTTGGGGGGTGAAAAACGAGTATTTGGTTCGAGTTTAGATGGGATCGAGATAATTAAATTATTAGTCTGGTTAGGGGTGTAATTTCGTTTTCTTTTCCGATTTGGTCATGACCTATCTTACGAAGTAAGTAGCGAAGGTGGGACCCTTGGATGCCCCGAGTCAGTTCGAGACGAACATTTGGCGATTAAAGAATTAATCTACGCATACAACCAAACGAATTGTACGTTTAGTTTATACGATGGACGCAACGCGCCGACCGGATTCTCTCGGCCTTCCTTAAACCGTCTACGTTTGGACCGGGTCATTCTATTTGTTCTTTGTGGGTGGTAGACCCGTGGAATGCTGACGTGATACACAGTACATCAGGTGGAAGGGGAATCACATTCTCTCTCTTACGTGTGTCTACATATAAAGGTATTCTTTGACTCTTTAATTTATTACGAATTTCGATAAATATAATTTCAAGTAGGTTAGACTACGATAAATATTATTATGATTTCAGTTATTCGAAATAAAAAATCGTAACTGGATCGATTTTGGAATCGAAACTGAAACTAATCGTTCTGGTTTCGATTCAAACGGTTAAATTTTTTAGTAAATATTAAAAATTAATTTTAAATAAAAAAATTAAAGTTAAAGAATTGATGATTTAAATTGGTTCGATTTCGATTTTAGCCCGATTCAATTTTGATCTAAGTTAAACAATAATTAGATCGATTCGATTTAATTTTGATTTTAACTCAATTCGATTTTGATTCAAATCGATAAATAATCAAGCTATTAACATCCATAATATTAAAGGATGATGTCTCAAATGACGAGACTTCCTAGAATCATCTAATGGACGATAAAAAATGAGAAGCGAAAAAAGAAGGGTGAGATTATAGTTATAGTCCTCGTTGCAGTGATATAATAGCACATCAATGAAGAAGGTACGAGGTGTTATGATATTACGATGGAACAAAGGCGTTGAAAACTTTAGTGACCTCTACGAGAACATGATATAGGGAATAATGATAAGAGATGGAGATAACAAGACGAAAGTAATAAATAGAAACATGAAAACAATAATAATAGGACAAAAGTGACGAGCAATGATGCTAAAGACAATCACAATAAGGTATGGGTTAAGATAAAATAATAAAGTTGAAGCGTTTTGAATGAATAAAGTAAAAGTGATACGCGGCTGAAAATAATAAAAATTTAAGGGTTTTTTTTTGTAGGGGAGTGTAAATTTAACTAAAAGAACTATGAAATTTAGTAGTTAGCGTTATTTCTTTTCCGTTATGCAGTTCGTAGTTACCACTGTATTTAATGTATACGTCACCACTGGTTGATCCCTTTTAATTATTGTCGTCATCCATTCACACCGATTGAAGAATAGAAACCAATTCTGTTGCTCTCCTTTTCTGGCCTTCTCCATTCCTCCTCCGTCTCCCGTCCGTAAGATGGAACCGTCGAATCGGAAGAGGAGAGTAGGCGGCGACGACGACGGCCGTCCGCCGTCGAGACCGCGACCGTCGTCCCCGCAGCGGCTCCATGACAGGCGTCGGGCGGCGACGGACGACGAGGTCGAGGAGTTCTTCGCCATCCTCCGCCGAACGCGCGATGCGCTGCGGTGCCTCGTCTCCCGGCCAAGGCCGGCGCCCACGTCGACGAGGTGGAGCCCGGAGTTCGCGTGGGAGGACTTCGCCGGGCACGGCACCACAAAAGACGACGGCGTTCCGCGGCCGCCGGCTTCGACGGACCCGGCCGGACCGGCGGATATCGTCGCACCGAGGCTCCTCGATCTCAACGCCGACCCGGATCCCGAGAGCCTGGCAGCGGTGAGTCCTCATCCCGGTGCAGTTACCGCCCCCTGGGCTCGAGCGCTCGCTTAATTCCTTCAGGCGCACATCGACACACAAGCGGTAACCTCACCTTTCGTTTGCCTTTGAGAATAAGGGGTTGCGTAGCCCTATCTACCTTTACAATCTTTAATCGAATAAAATGGTCAAATCCTTATTGGATTATCTTCCTTTGTCCAAATTGATCTTTATTTGTCTGATACTTTTGTTCTAGTGGATGAAATTGTTAATTCATTATTTGCACCACCGCATATGTCTCATTAGATTGTATAGTGCAGTGAACATCTCATTAATAAAGTAATGGACCTTTTTCGTTTATTTCTTAATGAAAGCATGTTATATATACAAGCAATTGTGAGAACCTTAATTTATTTTCATTGTTCGATGATCTTACTAGTGAGTTCTATCAGATCCAACACCTTCCTCTTGATTCATGCTCAGGTCGACTTTTCCCTTCCTTCCAGCTCAAATTTCTACTGATCATTAGTCATTCGTCCCAGTAGTTGTATCTAACTGCAAGTTTTTACTGCAGTAGTTTCTCAAGAATCATGCAGGGTAGGTGGCAATAGTATCAACAACATGGGCAACTTGATTTGTAGGGCGAAAAACTTAACGGATACTTGTAATTAATGTGCATCAACATGTCTTGGTAACTGAGCTTAAAGTCCATGAAGGGATGGTTTGTGCAATCAGGGGCTTGCTCTAGAAATGCCAGTAAGCCATACACAAAGGCAAATGGAATGGATGGATAGAGCACTAATAGTAGAAGAACTAATGCCACTGATGGTAGTACAATATATAGCTGATTAGCTTTTTTTTTTTTTCTTTTCCTAGGAAAAATCTGATTGGGTTTGATTATTCTCTAAACTATTATATTCATAAAGTTTTATGATATTGTGAGCTTTGCTTAATGTAGTATGAGCCAAGTGGGCATTATCTTATGACTTGTTTTGGTGGTTGGGTCAACAGGAAGACCAGTCTTCATCTGCAGAGTGGCCAAGTCATCACAACTAAAAAGTATGCGTCACTTGTCACGACTAGGGAAGACGGTCTTATTTAAATCGACTAGATAATATGCTGTCCTTACTGTTGGGTAGGGTTGAAAAGAACAATAAAAAATCAATGAAGAAATCAATAAAAATTTAATAATTAAAAGAATATATTAAAAAATCGATGTAAGATTAATATGATTTGGTAAATTCTTATCTATATCTACGATGCTATTGAGTTATCTCTATTCAAGTACGACTTCACTTGTTCAATGTGAATCTCTAATCATTGAATCTTTTAGGCTATGATATTATTTTGTTGGGAAGGAAAATAAAAAAAAGTCTAAAATCATAAGCTAAAAAGAAATTCATCAATAATTAATAATTAAAATAATATATCCGAAGGTCGACGTAGGATTAACATGGTTCGACAAATCCCTTTCTACATCCACGAAAAAAAAATCATGTCCTTTGATATATGAGAACAGTTACAAGGTCTTTGAGTTATCCTTACTCAGAGTTCTATTTTTTTCTTCACCTTTTAAGTAAACTTAAAGAACTCTTTCAATTCTCTCTAGAAGCCTTAGAGATTATCACCCTTATGAGCACTCAAAGTATCTTGACTCTTTCTCTCATCAAAACTCTTAAGGCTCTATATTTATAGAAACAAATATTGATTCACTAAGGAGTTTTAATTTAATTTAAATATAACTAAAATTCCTAAAAATATTTATCATGATGATTAGTCTGTCCACTGCCTCCTGATCTCAAGTTCCTGGAAATTTTTGCTAAATTTCTCTTCATGTTGCAGCCCTCTTCTTCTTTGTATTAGTAACTGAAGCAGATTTTACAAGGGCTCCTGCATTATTGTTTGTGTGCAGCTATCACATATTCACAGTTCAATGAAATGAAATAGTTCTATACCCATCTTTCTAATGCTACCAAGATCTGCATATTTCCTGTCAAATATATGCTTATATATTTTTCATGTTTGGAAAAATCTGATTGCCTAAAACAATCATCTGAAGAATCTCCAACTCCAGCAGTTGTTTCAGGCATCTGTCTACTTGGATCAACGGGAATACCTCTGCTGTTAACCTATTACATTCTTTAGGAATCTACATGTTTCTTTGGAGTCCACATGCTATGTCTTTTACGAAGAGATGCTCTAGCTTTTCATTTTGGCTTTGAGAATTCCATAAGAACTAGTCATTGCTTCTTCTCTTCTGCTGTAGAATCCCAAGTCTTTTTCTTATGTGTTTTCTGTGTGAATTCGGTTTGGTTTGGAAGACTTTGACACTAGAAAACGAAGGTGGACCAGTGGGTCGAACGTCGTCTCAGGCAATCTTGTCTGTGAGAAAGACATGCTACATAAATCTTTCTTTTTATGCTGCTCAAAATCCGTGTTTGAATCACATGGTTGCTTAACAGGTTGGGATCCGACGAGGGCGTGTTGCGTGATGTCATGGTATTGCCCGTGAATTCACGGGACCGACGCCCATGGCTGGTTGGCCAAGATGACTCTCAGGTCCTCTGAGAGAGAGAGAGAGAGAGAGAGAGAGACTTATCTTTAGGGTGAGTCAGCTGTCTTTTCCGATAGTAATGGTGCTTAAATGTCGCACAGGCATTAAGTCAGCAAACGCAGGCCTGCAACCACGTCAAAGTAACAACGTAAGAATACTGTACAAGCAGTAGGTATTGGGGGATCCGAGACCAGTCTCATGTTCGGGCCACTCGCTACGTTGCTTACATTGAAAGCGTCAGACAGCAGTATCAATTATTTCTTTGACTTTTAGAGATATTACCTACCAATCTTCTCTCCATCATCGAGTACTCCGTCGGAAAGTGGCATCTTCCCAACCATTTCAATCTCACCACATACTTCCGAATTCCGAGTAAGAGACTTCCTTGGAGTACATCAATTTCAAACAGTTTCAGTGCTGATTTTAGAATCGTCAGTCAGTTTCGATTATAATTTAATTATAAAAAAAATTAATATATTTAATAAAATTTAAATTTAGGCCATTAAATCTTGAATTTGAAATCGCTATGTCCTAAAATTCATTTTATGTCTTAATTTTTGTTGTCAATTTGGAATACCCGTAAGACCTGATTCTGGATTTTGCCATGGGAGACGAGGTTAGGGCTTAATAGAAGGTACGTATGTACTAAGCAGGCCTTAGCGTCTGTGTCGGTCTGCAACCCATGTGCTTCCCATGTGTTAGACCAGCACTCATAGCAGTCAGAGAGCGAAAAGAACCTTATATTTACTAGGGTGGAAGCCATTCCATTCCATGACGTACCACAAAGTGGATGAGCATTAGGTTCCTTTTTCTTTTTCCTGAAATATTATATTTATTAATTTATTAGATAACTCGAGTTGCCCTTAGTACCTGATGCCCACCTGCGTGAACACCACCTGCTGTTGCCTGTTCTCCTACAGTCGACGGATTATTCTTCTTTTTTCGTAGCGACACTCTGGATTCCGGTGTCCCGAGTGTGGTTGCAAGATAAAAAGCACTGTTGATTCATGAGAAGTACTCGCTACATGCAAATGAGGAAGACGAAGCGGCTTATACGATGGTTTCCAAGGCGTAATCTTGGAACCCTCCCATCGTGTTTCTGTGTCATCAAATCGGACGGTTGCAAATGGGCTTGTTGAGGCCCAGTATGCCCTCCCAACCCTTCGATCCATCATCCATCGGCTGCCGCGCACCGCATCAAACAAAGACCCGCATGATCAAGTGTCTCGATCCACCCACGCATCCCACGAGCGGGCCAGTACTCGGGAGCCACGTCGTAGGTGGGTCCCGGGACTGTGTGAATAGACACCGCGCTACATGCTTGCATCGCCTTATTCCCTACTTTACTCTTTTTACATCCACACATTCACACTCTTTTTCTACTTCACACACTCACTCTCTCTCGAGTCTGTTGCTTTCTTGTTGAGAAAGAGAAAGAAAGAGAAGAGAGGGAGGAGGAGAGTTGGGTTGGGTCTCGGCGGCGGAGAATGGAAGAGAAGGGGTCGACGCTGGTGCAGATCCTTGCGGTCGCCCTCTGCCTCACTGCCTTCGGTTTCGCCATTGCCGCCGAACGCCGCAGGAGCACCGTAACTGATCGCTCCCTCCTCTTCTTTCTCCCACTTTATGCTTTGTTCCCTCGATCCCTCTTTCGTATCGGGTGCCAATGCCTCCGATAGTTGGATGGGATGTTAATCTGGCTTCTGTTTCCTCTGTTCCTGTGTTCGTTGCGGAATCAGATAGAACCTCTAGATCTTGCTTCTTGAAGACGTGGTTTCGAGTTTCGTAGTCGGTGGTCGGCTAGTCGTTCGACAAGAATGTAGAGTAGCAGATCGGGATTCTTGTGTTGGTTACATGAAATTAATTTAGTGGTTTAGTCATTAAACGCTACATTCTTGTGTTCTTGCATCCTCATGATTCTTAGTAGTACATCACTACTGTTTCTGTATATTAAATTTCTTACTCTTGACACACAATGTATTATGAGATTGACCCATGATCAAGAACTCTCCATGGCCTCCAAGTAAAGTAGATGAGAAAATTAGTAGAGGAACAAATGGTTTTTAGGATCCTCCTATTGGTGATTTGGGCATCCTCATGTGGATTGTTCTCTTTTTTTGAGCGAGGGCTTGCATCAGCTCAGACAAGTGTTGCTACCTCTCTCATTGTTGACATCCAGCGTAGGCAAACCATGGTAAAAAACCTAGCTCAATGTGCAGGCGGTAGCCTAGGTGGCATAATCAATACGAAGTAGCTATCAATGATTTGGGTACATTGATGACAAAAAAATTGGGCATATGAAGCATTTACAAGATTTGAAGCTTGGGATGCAGATAGAACGTTGGCGACATGTGGATGACGATAGAGACTGAGCAATAATCAATTTCCATTTCTGTTGATTTGCTCAAGCAGGTGCTGACAAGATTGTGCATGGCAGGTGTTCTGAAGGACATCTAGGAGTCACTAAAATTAATGCTTGGCTCGGAATTAAAAAAAAACAATAAGAGCTTTTAAAATTCTGGTT